GATTCTCCTGCTTCAGCCTCCTGAGTAGCTGGGATTACAGGCATGCGCCACCACGCCCAGCAAATTTTGTATATTTTTTAGTAGAGACGGGGTTTCTCCATGTTGTTGAGGTTGGTCTCGAACTCGCAACTTCAGGTGATACGCCCTCCTTGGCCTCCCAAAGTGCTGGGATTACAGGTGCGAGCCACCGCGTCCAACCCACAGATGTAGTTTTCTTCATGTGCCACGCTTTGACTACCTTAACAAACAGCAGGGCTGGGAAAGCCTGCCAGGGATGTTTAGAGAATATGGAATTCACTTGCTTATAAGTTAAGATGCCAGGCTTTTTTTTAAAAAAGTAAATCAGTTCTTTGGCTAGAATCATAGATTAAAAAAAAAAGGAAAAATAAATTAAAAAGTAATTACCAATCCTACTAGTTAAGGTGAAAGAAGCACTGAAAAATCATGCCTTTACTTTTCATCTCCTTAATCAGGGTAATTAGAATACACTCTGGTGTAGAGGCTCATAAAGCAACAGTTAAGTATTCTTGGGTGCTATATAAGTCATCTATGGCTGTTTCAGAAGTAACTTGATTATCATGTGTGAGTTTTGAAAATAACTGTAAATAGGCTGGGCAGAGTGGCTCATGCCTGTAATCCCAGCACTTTGGGAGGCTGAGGTTGGTGGATCACCTGAGGTCAGGAGTTCAAGACTGGCCTGGCCAATGTGGTGAAACCCCATGTCTACTAAAAATGCAAGAAAATTAGTTGGGCGTGGTGGCACGTACCTGCAGTCCCAGGTGCTTGGGAGGCTGAGGCAGCAGAATTGCTTGAACCCAGGGGGCGGAGGTTTCAGTGAGCTGAGATCACGCCACTGCACTCCAGCCTCGGTGACAAAGCGACACTCCATCTCAAAAAAAAAAAAAGAAAATTTCTGTCAAGGCAAAAAGAGTAATTGACTAGATTTTTAAAAACTAAAACATTCAGGAGTCAGGAGTCAAAATTACTGACACTAATGCTCTCATCTTCATATAGCTAGCACAGGCAATTTAGTTTTTTAATATTACTATCAAGAATACTCCTCGACATTAATCTTTAAAAAATTACTATTGGCCAGGCATGCCAGTAACCCTAGTACTTTGGGAGGCCAAGGCGGGAAGATAACTTGGGCTCAAGAGTGTGAGACCAGCCTGGGCAACATAGGGAGACCTGGTGTCTACAAAAAATAAAAACAATTAGCCCAGTGTAGTACCCATACCTGTGGTCCTAGCTACTCAGGAGGCTGAGGCAGGAGAACTGCTTGAGCCCAGGAGGTAGAGGATGCAGTGAGCCGTGACTGTACCACCGCACTCCAGCCTGGGTGACAGAGCAAGAC